CCACCAAGGACAGGCCATGGCTTGAGCAGGAGGGATTAATCCGTGTGACAGGGAAGACAGGGTGAGTGGGGAGTGGGTTCTTGGGAGATGCCGTTTTGACTCCCTCTTGTGAGTCTAAAGCCTCCATAATAATGCTCAATACTGACTGATGAATGTTTGTGTTCCTTTCACTCATTCCACAAGTATTTATTAAGTGCCTCCTATGTGTCATGTACTACCCCCAGAAGCTTGGGATAAAGCAGTTAAACAAAAAGGTGGCCAGACCTTCAGGACAGCAGTTAGGTCCAGCGCAGAAGCAGCAGCACGATGTCTGGCAGTGGTTCAAGTTCCCACCCTGCTAGTGGCTCACCAGATACACATGCACCAGGATCCTCACAGACAGCCAGTTAAAGGAAAAGGGACTGAGGGCCAGAAGGTGGTGTGGTGGTTGGGGGCACTGGACTCCCACATGGCTGACCACGGTTCGAGTCCCAGACCTGGCGGCTACCTTTATCACTCCCCCTCCTCTCTGTCCCTCTCTAGTCAAACAAATAAATGAATAAATAAATAAAATTATTAAAAAAAAAAAAAAGGAAAAAAGGACTGTGGTGTGACCAGGCCCCACTGAGAAGCACCTTCTCTTTCTCTCTCATGCACATGCCCTCTGGCATAAAAATATACAAACAAAATCTATTTTTAAAAAACTGCTGAAAGGGGCCGGCAGGTGCTGTGGTGGTTGGGGGTGTTGGACACCCACATGGCTGACCACAGTTCAGGTCCTGGACCTCCAGTTTGCTTTCTCACCCCTCAACCCTGGTCCCTCTCTGGTCAAATCCAAATAAATAAATAAAGTTAAATAAAATTAATTAAGAAATAATTAAAACCACCAAAACAAAAATCCCTATTCATGTATAACTGGCATTCTAGCAGAGGAAAGCACACAACAAACCATCAACAGGACAAATACAAGAGATCTTCACAAAGTTCATCGAAAATGGTTATGAAAAACTAAGCATGGGGAACCAGCAGTTAGCGTAATGGCTATGTCGCTGGACTCCCACGTGGTCGACCGCGGTTCACGTCCCGGACCTGGTGGCTTAAAACTCACGCCGGGCGCGTGTGCGTGCATGCCCAAGATCCCGAGAGGAGAATGGAGGAGAAGGGATTGCGGCATGACCATCCCCCCTGGGGGGTGATTTCTCGCTTTCTGTCTCTATATCTCTGTCTGTCTGGCGAGCGCACGCGCCCTACAGTGAAAATCTCTCCCAAAAAAACAAACAAAACAAAAACTAAGCATGGATTTAAAGTTCTTTTTATACCAAAAGAAACACATTTTTCCGTGAACACTTCAAAGTCCCCTGGCACACCACAGTGTATTGGTAAGTGGTAACTTCTATGGACAGAAGAGTAGTGTGAAGGGGAAGGGATGGAGCATAGTTGAGAGGGGAGACTGAGGAAACAAACGGGGTCACCAGGAGGGGCTGATGGCCGTTTTAGGGGGGTGGGAAGTACTGTAGGCTTTGTTCCAGAGGAGGCAGACAAGAGCCAGAGCTACGCCCTGCTCCCCACTAGAAAGCAACTGCCCAGAGACTGGCTGCCGGTTCCTGGCAAGTCCCTCTCACCTGCCCCTCAAATAAGTCCACGGTAGCTTCAGAGAACGAGGTGACAAACAGGGAGAGTGTGCCAACAGCTCTGCTCAGAAAGCAGGCCCAGTGAGCAAATAAAGGGCAGCAGCTGAGGTGAGGAGCAGGGGCCAAGCCTAGTTCACAGCCTCTTCTGTGACATGGGAGTTGCTAAAACTGAGAGAGACAAGAATACAGGATGATGAGGAACCATAAGGGTTGAAGGTTGTGAGCGATCTGAAGGGATGAGATTCAGAATGCTGATAAAGCAGCCAGCCCGGCCAGGAGCAGAACAGTGAGGCTGGGGCACTCTATTGCTGTCGTTGATTTTTTTTTTTTTTTTTTGAGAGAGATTTTTGCTATCGTCAGAGAGACAGAAAGTGAGTAAATCACCTCCCAAAGGGGATGGGTCATGCTGCAATCCTTTCTCCTCCATTCTCCTCTCTGGACTTTGGGCATGCACACATAGACATGCACGCACACATACACACACACCAGGCGTGAGTTTCAAGCTATCAGGTCCAGGACTCAAACTGCAGTCACCCATGTGAGAGTCCAGAGCCTGAACCACTGGCCCCCCAATCTCTGGTTTTTAAGAGCGTGCCTCTAGGAAGGTTCTTCACGAGAGTAGACATGGAGAGACAGAGGCCCCTGCGAGGTTTACCCAGGGCTAGCCTGGGGAGAATGCCAGGCTTCTCTGGGCCCCCCCACCCCCAGCCCTTTAACATCTTCTTAATGCCCCAGCCCAGACCCTTTCTTTCCTTTTCTAGCATCTTCATCAAAACGCCTCTCTGTTCACACGTCTGGTCCTGCTGCTTCTCCCTCTCACCTGCATTTCTCTACCAGACACTTGGACCCTATTCAAGATCTCTTTCTTACTGCCCTTTGACAGCCAAATAATCTCTGGGAAAATATTAAGATAATTAACTAGCTACCTATTAAGTTCCCTTACAGTAAAATCAGACTTTGAACAAATACACAGACAAAACCCACTAGTACCAACTACACTTAAGGTCACTCCTTCCTTCGACCCACCCCAGCCCAGGGAGGGCTTACATCTGAATGCCCTGTGAGGGCAACTCCTCTGGATGGTTAGGAGAAGGCAGCTCCCACCAGCTCCCACCAGTTCCCTGGGCCACATGTCTCACTCTGCTCCAGGTTCAACTGCATATCTCCACGTGGGGAGAGCAAGAATGTGCACCTCCAAAGGGGAAGGGGAGCACCTGGGCAAGGGGAGAGGAGAGGCAGTAAGTGACCCAGACAGAGTCTAATGAGAGAAGTCTGAGGGTTTAAGATGACAGCGGAGGGGAAGAGCCAGAGAACAGACCAAGAACACCACGCCTGGAGTTGGGGCACCTGGGCTCAGGCTCTGACCTGATTCCTAACCTGCCTGGTGGCCCTGGGACAACCCCTCCACTCTCACCAGGAGTTCGCCAGGAGGGGCTAGACTGGGAGAATCTCAACTCCCTGCCAGTCCTCCTTTTTAATTTTTTTTTCTTAAGAGGTTTTTGCCTTAGGGTGCACTTGCCAGGGGGCGAGAGAGAGAGAAACCTACAGTGAAAGGGAAATTGAGAATTAACCCCCCAGGGGGATGGCCACACTGCAATCTCTTCTCCATTCTCCTGGGATCTTGGGCACACATGTACATGCACCTGGTGTGATTTTCAAGCTATTAGGCCTGGGACTTGAACCACAGTTAGCCATTTGGGAGTCCAGTGACATAATCACTACGTCATCTGCTGGCCCCGACAGTCCTTCTGAGAGTGTGAATCCACAACGGAGAGAGGCTGGCTGAGGCCACCTCTCCACACAGCCTGCACTGGCACATATGCTGTCATCTCCCCCCAATGGCCTCAGACCCCACTTTCCTAGAGAAACTGGATGGCTGTGCTGCTAGTGGGAAGCCGCAGACACCTGAGAACGTGCCAGTGGGGGAGACCATCTGACAGCCCCCCTCCTGGCCTGTGAGGGCAGGAAGATCAAGCCCTCCACCCAGCTGAGCCACACCCAGAGCCTGACTCCCCTGGGGGGGCTCCTGGAAAAGGGAAATGCAGTGTCACTCCAGCTTGCCCACCTGCTCTCCTGCCCAAGACTGGCTTTCTCAGAATCGAAGCCACTTCCTCCTCTAGGAAGCATCCCGAGGCCCCTCGTTTGCTCTCCACCTTGTTTCTCTATAGGGTCCCAGAAAAAACCTCGCCTTCTCTGTCTCCCTTCCCCAGCCACCCATCTCCGACAAACCCTCCCTCAGGGTCCTCGAGAGGGGTGTCCATTCAGCCCTCTCTCAGCCACCCGCAACCTCTTTCTTTACCCCCAGAACCATAAAAAAGCTTTCACTTGACAAGTGTCTGCTACTCACTTCTTAAGAGGAAGGACTTGTAATGGGCGTGATTTGGATGGAGGATGGTAATGACTATATTAACAACCTTCCTTCCATTTCTACAGCACTTCATAATTTTTTTTTTTAATTGCCAAAGGGTATGCGCTCAGCAGAGACAGGGCGAGTTAGAGGGAGAAGGAACCCAAGCCCTGTGAGGCACGGTCATGCTGCAATCACGTCTTTCTCTCAATTTTGAGCACACACACACATGCCTAGCGTGATTTTAAAGCCACCAGAGATGGCCCACTTTTTAATATTTTTAAACATTTATTACAGAAAAATTAGCTATTGAAGTGACACCATGCCCGTGATTTCATGTTCATGCAACCTGTGGAATAAGTGGGATGGTAGGAATTATCATCCCCATGTTTCAGAGCAGACAACTGAGGCCCCAAGAGAAGGTGACTCTCCCTAGGTGCTGGAGTGGGGCAGGGCCACCTGCCCCGGGAGGCTCTCACCTGCATGAGCTCTGCAGCCGGCTGCTGTGCCTTGACCTCCAGCTCGGAGATGACCAGTGCCAGCCGGCTGAGCTCCCCGACACCCCGGGCCGTGTACTTCTCCCTGCCCTCGGTGAGCTCCTGCTCCAGCCTGGCCAGCTGGTCCAGCAAGTGCTGCTCCCGCTCCCGCAGGAACTGGTGGCCCTGCTCAAACTCGGCTGCGATGAACTGCCTCTGGTCCTGGAGCTGCTTCTGCAGGGGTGGGAGGGAGGGAGAGTGATGTCTCCGCTTCTGCCTGGGAGTGGTTTTCCCCTCATTAGCCCCATTCCTGCATCCTACAGCGTTTGGAAGCCAGAGGGCTCCTGGCCCTCCCTCCTCTTCTCAATGAAGACACGAGTGAATTTCAGGTCACTCAGCCACTGTGTGAGCCGAACCCAGGCTCAGGTTGACCGGGCAGCCTGGTCTGGGCGAGGTAAACCAGTATGTTCCAGGGCCCTTGGAGGAACTCTGGTCTCATCCACGAGCCGACACTTTCTTCTCCTGGACAAAACCTCTGTGTACTGCCTCTTCTGGGAGGCTTTCCTTGATTAACGTCATCCTCGGCCTCCACTACCAGGTACCTGCGTGTCCCTCACCTCTGCCGAGGGCTGCACCTGTTTCCTCAGTGAGTCTTCCCAGGAACCATGTCCCTTCCTGCCTCCAGATCCCCTTGCCAAGTACAGGAATGGTGGCCAGAGCCCTGGGTCCCTGTTACTGATGCTGGGCTGGAGGCAGTACTTGGGCTGCCTCGCTTTTCTCTCGCTCTCTCCCAAGGCGTCACTGACTGCTAGGCTGGCATCAATACCCTCTCCTGTCCCTTTTCCCAATGCACACTCCTCCCAAAAGTGGAACCCTTGTATCCATCTTATCACTCCTAAGCCCACCTCTAATAAAGCATGCGATACACTGCAATGTTCTAATCACTGGCAACCAAGGCCGAGCTCCCCGACACCCCGGGCCGTGGACTTCTCCCTGGCCCCGGTGAGCGCCTGCTCCAGCCGGGCCAGGTGGTCCAGCAGGTGCTGCCCAAGCCTGAGACACAGCACTGCCTAAGCTAGCCCAGCCTTCCTTAGCATAAAGCCAGGCTTTCCCCGGCTCTCTGTAGAGGAGCTGCCACTCGACATGGAGCCTGCAAACGGGGAGGGCAGAGACGGGAAGGGCGTCATCTGGGCAGCCCACTTCCCTGTCAGGTGAGGGACAGGACCAAAGCCACACGGGCTGGATGGGCAGAGCTGAGGCTAAGGCCAGGTGGGCCGGAGACCAGCCCGACACCATCCTCTCTAGAAACTAGCTCCTAGAACTGCCTCCCAGCTGCCGCCTCCTCTCCTAGGCCCCTACCCAGTGTACGTGAACTGCCCCAGGGCTCCTGCTCACAGCCTCACTTACCAGCGCAGCCAGGATATCAGCTTCTCCTTTCGCCTGAAAGCTCTGAATTTTGTCCCTGTCTCTCCTTAGAGTACTCAGGTGGTTCAGAATTTTTTCCTGTGGAAATACAAGCAGAGGGGATAGGTGGCTACTAGGCTGGGGTAGGAAGGAGGACCAGGCTGAGCTCTCAGCCAACAAGAAGGGGCCTTCCTTGGCCAGCTTCGCCCCAGAGGGCTGCAGGGCGGGAATCCCAGGGCAGATGCAGGACAGCCTGTGGGTGAAGGCTTACCCGGTGGGGCTGGGCGGCCTTCTCCACCAGGATGGCCGTGTGGGGCCGGTGCTCCCGGGACTCCCGGCACATGACGCACAGCAGCTTCCCGTCGTCCTCGCAGTAGTAGTGCAGCTTCTCTCGATGCCGCTCGCACAGCTTGGCCTCCCGAGGCTCCCGGGCCACCTCGCCCGGCTGCCTGCCCTTGTCCACCTTCAGCCGCTCGATGTTCTCCACCAGGCTGGCCAGCTGCCACACGGGTCGGATGTTCTCCTTCTTAAAGGGCTTCTTGCAGAGTGGGCAGACAGGGCGGCCCCCGGAGATGGGGCGGATGTCACTGGTGCAGCTGCGGCAGAAGACGTGGCCACAGTCAATAGTCACAGGGTCCCGCAGGTAATCCAGGCAGATGGAGCAGGTCACCTCCTCTTCCAGGCTCCGCAGAGGGGCTGACGTGGCCATGGTGCCTTTAGTTCAGAGGGGTCTCCTCCTCCTGGAAGACCAGACACAGAGTCAAGAGTAGGCCCAGACAGGGTGGAGCTGGCAGCCCTGCACAGGGCCACCAGCCCCAGCACTCAGTCAGTGCACACTACCAGCCTGACAAGGCTTGCAACGTGTCAGAAGAAAGGGACTTACCAACCCAGTCCAACCCTCTCAATTCACAGGTGAGGACCTGAGGCACAGAGAGAACGGCTCTGAGAGCGAAGAGTGGGGCTGCCGCTAGCCCAGACCTTGCTGCTGAGGAAGCAGTCCCGCCTCAAGACCCTCTCCTTCCGTCTGCTGGAAAATTGCCCTAATGCATCTGCTGTGATCAATCAGAACTGGGTAGTTCACATGCCCTGCTAGAAAGTGCCATAAATACAGAACCTGCAAGGTCTGCAGAGCACATGGGGATCCCTCTACTGTGCAGAGCACGACCACTCGTGGGGGTCCTGACAACATCAAGAGACACCGTTGGTTTGCTCTTTTAGGTTTGAGGTTTCAAGGATTAAGAGCGCTGAGCATCTTTACCAAATCTCAAGAAAGCATCAGGAAGCCTCAGGAGCTGGAGAGCTGATGTCCCACGGTAAGAGTGTCCCTGGGCGCTCTGTGGTTTTGGCCCATTTCCCCCGGAAGGTTGAACATACCTAAACTCGGCCTGCTGCTGGAGCACAGCCAGGCCACACCTGGCTCACTGCTCCATGGAGCTGGCCTGGCTGTTCTGCTGCTAACAAGGGCGGGCTGTCCCAACTGGGCTTGTAAGGGAAAGCAGGATGGGAAAGTCCCCAGTGGCTGGGGTTGCTCCACGCTGCTGAGGCGTGGCCCTTACTGGGAGCACGGGAACTGAGCACAGAAAGGCCTCTGCCTCTGTTTACCTTTACAGTCGTATGTAGCCTAGTTCCGGTATGAGGTTACAAACATCTGACCCAATGACTGCCTTCTGCCCCAACTCCATGTGACAACAGAGTCACTGATGTACTCTGAACTTCAGTTTATCCATCTATAAAATGAGGAGAAACTCCTTCAAGGGTTTCTAAGGTTACATGAAAGAATGGTGTTGAAGGTACTAGACTCGGGGCCAGCAGGTGGCGTGGTATAAGGTGCTGGAATTCCCACACGGCCAATCGCTGTTCAAATCCCAGACCTGGTGGCTTGCTTTCTCACTCCCACCCCCCCTCTTTTTCTCTGGCAAAACTTAAATAAATAAATAAAATAATTATTATAAGTAAATAAATAAAGTACTAAGCTTAAGTCTGCTACACAGAAAGAAACTCAGGAGAATCCAGAACCCTTGGTTCCTGAAACCAGTGAGTGTTCAAATCATGAAGAGACAAAGAGCTGACATGGCAAGTGGCAGCAGGAGAGGACATGCACACAAACAGCCACCGTGACACAAGTGCTCCAGAGATAAAGTGAACAGATCTAGGGGAGCAGGGCTGGGGGATGTCTCTGATGCAGATCCATGACGCAACTAGACCATCACTGGGAAGGCGGCCAACAGGACACCAAGGGAACTGTGAGGGCGGAGTGAAGCAACTGGGGTCAAGGAAAATCAACACTAGCACTGATTATCTATGGTGAAATCTAGTACAAGAGTTTGGTGGTCTTTGTCATTAGTGACAGAAATAAACCCCTGGTCCATAAGACCAAAAAAGAAAACATGTGGTAATGTATAAAATGTGTTTTATAAACTGAAAATACTGTACACAGAAGAGACTGCTATACCGGCAATAAATTTCAACTGGCAGCACAAATGGGATTTAGGTATGTGTGACCTTAGGAGATATAATAAGTGCAAAAACCAGGCACATACAAAGGTCAAATGAAAGGACCAAGGAATTTAACTGGAAAATGAAGGTAATATCGAGTTCTTATGAGGGGGTCAGGATATTCATGTTATATTTTTCTATAAAAAAATGCATCGTGGTTTTCCCAATAACCCAAGAGCACGTTAGTGAGGATAGTGAAAATGTTAGGAATTGCCTGGTCCAACGTCTTGGTTTCACTGTTGAGGACACAAGCCTGGCCCAGCACCCTCTCATTCAGTTGTAACATACTGCCAAAGGTGTGCAAAAAGAATAGGGATGGTACTAGGTGATTCCTGTGGGCTTTCATGCCACTTTGGGAACAATGTGTCTTATCTTTGGGGTTGGGAAGCTAATTATTTTGCAATTTACTAAAAGACTAAAACAACAAAGAAGGAGCTGAGCAGCAGCTCTCCTTCCACATTCATCACTTGGAGACAACGTTAACTGAGGGTCTATACTGGGTTCCAGTTTGGCTATAGGGTGCACGTGCTCACTGGAGTAAGAGAAAGTGAAAAATCACTCCTCAAGGGGGACGGCCACACCACAATCCCTTCTCCTCCACTCTCCTCCTGGGATTTGGGCAAGCATGTCCATACACACACATTCAGCACACATTTCAATATTTCAAGCCACCAGATCCAGGACTTAATCCACACAGCTGGCCATGTGGGATCCAGCTGTCTTAACCACTACACCACCCGGCCCACTTCAACAGATCTTTAAGCCTTCTAAAACTGTATAAAAATCACTGTACATGTAAGGAATCAATAAAACTATCTAGAGATTACAGAAAAACATCAGTTAATAAGCATAGGAGGGGGGGCCAGCAGTTAGTGTAATGGCTATGTCGCTGGACTCCCACGTAGTCGACCGCGGTTTGAGTCCCAAACCCGGTGGCTTAAACTCACCCCAGGCGCGTGTGCATGCGTGCCCAAGATCCTGAGAGAATGGAGAAGGGATTGCGGCATGGCCATCCCCCCTGAGGGGTGATTTCTCTCTTTCTCTCTCTGTCTGGCGAGCGCACGTGCCCTATAGCAAAAACCTCTTCAAATAAAAGCACAGGAGGGATAATAGAAGCAGAAATCACTGTTTTAAAACTGCCATGATGGGAGGGGACGCTTAAAGAGCTCAAGGAAATGTGTATTATGAAAAAACTATGTCTAGATTTCCATACTTTTTGCACCAAAATAAACTGATACTAACTTGTTATAACATGTCTGAAAAGGATCTAGTCTGAGGCACTAAGCAAGAATAAGACATCAGTTAAAAAGGCACCTCTATCAGAGCAACATAAATTCCACTAGAATTTAAACAAAAATATCACATTTATGGTAAAATCTGGGTAGAGGAATGGTGAAATCATGGATGCTTTATAAAAATTTTATGGGAACAATGCCCGAAGAAATTTCTGGTTTACGAAAGGACAATCCATTTTTTTTTTTAAAAGAAAGATTATTGCCATAGGGCATGGGCACTTGCCCAAGACACAGAGAGAGACAGAGAGAGAAAGTAAGAAATCAACCCCCCAGGGGAATGCCACACCATAATCTCTTCTCCTCCATTCTCCTCTAAGGATTTGGGGAACACATGCACATGCACCTGGCATGAGTTTCAAGCCACTACGCTAGGGACACTACGTTAGGGACTCAAACCGTGGTTGGCCATGTGGGAGTACAGTGCCTTAATCATTATGTCACCTGCTGGCCCCAAGGACAATTCATTTCAAGAAGGGACAAGACAATGCTGAAGATGATGTCCTCAGTGGAAAACCATTCACATCAATTTGTGAGGAAAAAAAAAATTAATCTTGGGACCAGCAGATGGTGTAGCAGTTACATTGCTGGACTCCCACATGGCTGACTATGGTTTGGGTTCCAGAACCTGTGGCTTCAAAATCATACCGGGAGTGACGGGTCCGTGGCGCAGCAGTGGAGGAGGAAGTGGTGCCCACGCTCGCTCCCCAGGCGCGGAGAGGGGCCGCCCATCTCTGCCGCTGCGTCGTGCTCACCTCCTCCTCCCCTCCATGTGCCCTGGCACCGCTGTTCCCCTTCCTCAGGCCGCCGCTTACCCGGGGGGTCTATGGAAGTTAATGGAAGGACCCCTCAATCTGGCTCATCAACAGAGCAGACGAGCAGATCGATTATTAGCTGCAGGGAAATACGAAGAGGCTATTTCTTGTCACAAAAAGGCTGCAGCATACCTTTCTGAAGCCATGAAGCTGACAGTCTGAGCAGGCTCATTTATCACTGGAATTGCAAAGGGACAGCTACATGAAACAGTTTTCTCCTCATCCAGGAGTGGTGGAAAAGGGCAAAGCGAGAAGAGAGGGAGAAAGCCCAGCAAAGCATGCACAGGGATGCAGTACATGAAACAGTTTTCTCCTCATCCAGGAGCAGTGGAAAAGGGCAAAGCAAGAGAGGTGGAAAGCCCAGCAAAGCATGCACAGGGATGCAGCTGCCCATGTTCAGACATCTCACAAGCCCCCTGCTGAGGATGCCCAGGGCCATAGCCCCTTGCTAGCTCAGAAGTACAACCCTTCCACGGAGAGACACCCGCCTCCAATCCAGGGC